AGCAGGGAAGGGAGATTGTGTTCAAGATGCCGCGCCGTTCCCTCACCGGCAGCTGCGATCTGGGGCCAGGGGCATTGCTTCGGTTCCCTTTGCCTCGCCCCAAGCTTTCCTGGAGACTTGGAAGCAGGGAGGAAAAGACTTCGCTGGGCGATGTGTGAAAACAAACCCAGTCTCCTAGCAAGCCTTGTCCCGAGCGTCCGTAGCTAGGAGCTGGGAGTTTAGCCTTTAAGATGTAGGCGCTAAAGTATTCTAATGCATGGTAAATTTCCGAGACTGGGGTGTGAGTAATCTACCGGGGAGTGGAGCTCCCGCGCCCGCGCCGTTTGCGAGCGCGGTCTGTGGAGGAAGCCCACGGGCCGCCGTGTGCCTGCAAACTTAACACAATAACATCATTTAATTATCCGGCGAGCCCATAAATCTCCCAGTTAGGAGGCTTCAGAAGGGCCCTGTTAGATTGCAAAACAAAACTGGAACTCCGGGAGCTGCCGGTGCAAGGTGACCAAGTGCTGGCCCCATCCGCGACTGGAAAAAACCGAGAGAGTATCGAACCGGATGGGGGAGAAGAGGGGCGAAATTGCTAGTGCCAACAGTGAGCAAACTTCTGCTGGGAGCAGGAAGTATGCAGAACAGCCGGGGCGACACCAGCGGATATTTCCCCTGAAACGCGCGCGCGCGCACACACACACACACACACACACACACACACACACACACACACACACATACACACACACTCGCGGGCACTTGCGCACACACAAACACACACACACACACACATATACACACACACACACACCCTGCTTCTTTCCTATACCCGGAGAAAAACGCCGGGGGTTACTGCTGTGGTTAGGAGATACCGGCCTCCGCTGACATCTACATATTCAATTCTTGTTTCTGAAACGACTAGCGCCCCGCCAAGCTCAAAAAGGCTCGCCACCACCCGCCGCTTTAAAAAGTGCACCTTCGTGCTCCTAGAATTTCCGTTGTTTGGCAAACCCGGGTTGGGTGGTGAGGGTGGAGCGGGGGAAGATTAGGAGTGGGGAGGTGGAGATTTCCGCGGCCGTAGGAGGGGGGCGAGGGAGGGTAATTGAGGACAGCCAGAGAGGCCAACACCCGGCATTGAAAGCCTTAAAAGTAACAGATTCTTGTAAAGCAGGTTGCGCACTGTTTGCCTCCGAAGATTCAAGCTAGCTGAGGTTGCGCAGATGTTGCCTTTGTTTAAAGAGACAGTAATTAAGGACAGGGTGAACATAAGTTTGAGAAGCGTGACCTATTTTCTTTTGATCAGCTGTCAAAAGAAGAGCAGGGGGTCTTCTTAAGACAGCCCCCTCCAACCACTTCCAGCTGTTAAAGAAAACTTGATAAGGAAACAAGGACACAGTCTGGAATACTGTATGTGCCTTCTTGGTGCTAGAAAAAGGTTTAATTCATTTGGAAAACAGTTCTCCATCTCAGTGAGCTTTTCCAGCTGCCCTCCTCTCTTTTCCGGCAAAAAACCCCACACACCCCATCCTGTCGCATGGATGTATAATGATATTATTGCTAGATCAACTTTACTGAGCTCTGGCCAATACACTGCCAAATTATTCTTTCAAATAGCTGCTTCTCTGTGATATCAAAGCCATGTGTAGGAAAGGAGGCCAATCCCCGGCTTTGCTAGACATAGTTTTCTGGCTGCTCACATTTAATGTCACAACACTAGACAGGTAAAATAATTCAGTTTCCTGCCTTTTTTCCTCTGTCCCTTGCCCTCCCCGCCCCCTTTCCCCACGCCTTGCCTTATATATGATGACCGGACACTTGGAATAATTTGAACCAGTTAATGTTTGAAATACACACCGAGTTGAACAAAAGTTCAGGAGAGTGCAACCTCCTGTTGGTCCAGGAGTGCTTGGTGACTGAAATACGGGCAGGAGAGGAGCAAGGTTGGGGAAGAAGGCGTCTGATGCACCCCAGTGCTAAATGCAGCCTGTGCTGCCCTGGCCTCGGGCTACAGCAGCGGCCAGTGACCCTGGGCTGGAACAACTGCTAGGTAACTGCCTCCAAACAGAACCTTAAGTATATAAATTGTCATTTAAATAATTTTTAAATAAAAAATTTCAAGATAAATCTGCTCCTGGGAATTGCATTTCGGTGTGCTTGGGAGCAGTCAAGTGCTGGGGAGTTGAAAGGTGAATTGCTTATTCTTGCTGCCTCCCTTCCTCCCTCCCTCCTCCTCCCACCATCCCTCCTCCTTTCCTCGATCAATATTGCCGATCTCAGGGAAATCATGAAATCGCATTGGCTTCTTTGTGTATAATTTCACTGGGCTACATTAAAGCAGATTTTTCACGTTGTTTTTCTAATGGTGGTTTGAGGTTTTATGTTTCGACCCAAAACCCACGGAAAAGGAAAATGAATGTACTTGTTTCATCAGCACCCTAATTTGTGTGGAATTAGGCTTGGATGCCCTTTCACCTTTCTTTCTAAAATGGAAAAATAATATTTATTTTCTACTTCCAGATAATTTTAAGAATATCAATACTAACAACATTTTCAAATATGTTCTGAAATATCTTTGTTTCTTTCTCTATAGTTCTTTAAGAGAATAAAAAGGATTACGTTCTGTTACTTGTTTAGCGTTCATACTCTAACCTTCAGAAGTTCTGGGACTCATAATTTTTTCTTTTAATTTGAAGGACACTCCTGCTGCACTCCCCCCCGCCCCACCGCAGCATCCGATTCACAAACAGACTGTAGAGAAATTTGGTATCAAGAGTGCTATTTCATGCCAATTACGATCTGAACAAACAGTTGCACCAAGCATTGTATCAGAGCAACATATCCACTTCTTAGCACACCACATCTGCAGGCCGATTTTCTTCAAGATCAGACCCGTAAATGGGTCAAAAGAAGTGTCGAAATGAAATGCAACTTCAAAAACAAAATGTAGGCTGTTGCACTGTAAAACAAAACAAAACAACATCTGAACTTGAGTTACCAATTGCAGGAAAAGACTGAAAATGTTGACCGTTAAGCTTTTCATACATATTTTCACATTAAAAATTTTTTTAGACTATCAGAGGGAGATAGAAGTGCACATTCAGTTAAAACAGAAACCCTGTAAATTGCTCACGATTAAAAAAGATAAACAGATCACAAGCAAATTCAATCTGGATTAAGGGCCCAGCAGCTTTGTTTTTACTAAACAACAGCAATCACAGCCCAAATCTGGGGAAGAGGGGGGGCTGCTTATTTCGACCCAAGTGCTCAAAATCCCTTCAGTTTTTGTGTTGGACAGAACACGTTTGTGCTACAACCAGGTTTATCAGAGCAATACAAAAAGACATAATGGTGGGTTGATTTGGACTATTTTATTTTTGTCCTTCCCCAAACCATCTGGCGTGTGAGTGTAGGGTATTGATCAGGCTCTGTGAGCTGCAGACCCCATGCCAATCCATAGCGTTTCTGGCAATCAGCGTTGCCCATGAATTGCAGCTGTCTGTGCAGTTCCTGAACAGAAATCTTCAAAAAAGTCCCCCCCTTATCAAACACATCATCCGTTCGGGGGTAAGTCAGTATGGTTTCTCTGTCATTCGTGAGCGAGGATTATACAGGAGAAAGTTTTTGTTGTCTGTTATAGCTGCTGCTGCTCCTGCCCTTTTTTTTTTTTTTTTTTTTTTTTTTTAAGAAAAGAAGGAGAGCAATTTTCTAGCCATTGAATGGTAATGGTTTTCCAGAAAGGCCTCAAGCGTTTGTATGAATTGGACAACAAATGCTGTTTCAATATTGTGGGGGAATTTTAAGAGGAGGAGCAAATTCTTATGTTGCTGTACACAAATAATAGTAGCGATAATAGAAGGGCTTCTTTTAACTACGGAGAATTTTCTCCCCTTTTTTCCGAGCCCCTGGTGATGAAGACAGTGCAAGTTGCTGTGATTACAAATGCAGATGGACGGTGGTGGGTCTTGTGGCGAAAAGGAGACTTTGAATTGTGGCTCTCTGTGATATCTCCATTAGCTTCAGTTTTCTTCTGTCTGAAAGCTCAGGCTGGTTGGCACA